CTCACCCAGCCTTGAGGTACTGTCATCATCACCTCTGGATATTGTCTGTTGTTTACTCTCTTGCTCTTCCTCAAAGGTATAGCCAATCAGGTTAGCTTCGTGTTCTTGTATTTGTCTCAATCTTCTCAGCTCCCATTCCATTTGAGCGCTGAGCCTTGGCTGGGAATCTCTTCTCTTCTGGGGTGAAGCAGACACACTTTCTGAGTCAGACTCACCTGTCAAGTGAAGAAGAAAACTCATAAACTCTTGATGCAGATGCTGTAACATAGTGCGCTTCAACAACTGAGGCGCTGTACTGTGGTTGAGAGAGACACACTCTTACCATCATGGAGAGGAACTATGATAGGTGTGCTGTACTGTGGTTGACGGGAGGGTGCACTCCCCTGCTCTACTGTGGGTGTAGGGAGCACCTCTGTCTCCAGGGTCAACACCACCGGCTTCTCCGGTTCCGGTGTGTCCTCCTTCTTCACCGGTAAGATCACTGAAATGTAAACAAGTGCTGAAATGTTGACCAGACTTGACCTAAGTGTTCGTGTCTTGATGTTGGAGGGAATTTTATCCTAACGACAGGAAATTAATAAATAGTCGTTGCAAGACAAAACACTCGTCGATAGCCCGAGGAGTCCCACAAGGGAGTATCCTAGGACCTTTGCTCTTCTTGTGTTGTGTAAAAGTCAAGCCCATTAGTGTTAAGTGTAAGCTTTTGCTGTATGCCGGTGACATTGTTCCTTCAGTGTCAGGTAAATGAGTGAACTGGAGTCATGCAAACAGTGGCTCATAGACAACACATTATCCCTACATCTTGGAAACACTGAAGCAATATTATTAGGACCAAAAAGAAAACTCAAAGGGGTAAACAAATTCATAATACTACTACAGCAGAGGTATGCCCCGTACACCTACGTCCCATGATTACTTATTGGGGAAATACCCGACAAGTTTTACTGTGTTGATCCCACGACTGAGGGAGGAACGGCAGAGCTCCTCTGAGTTTAGTGGGCAGTGACGTGGTAGGAATTCTTGCCATGAGTAACACATTTATATTTCATGAATTATTGAGACTTTAGAGTGTATACAGTGGTCCATCGATTAATGAGCGGATCAATTAACAACATTTTGGTTAACGAATTAGCTCCCATAAGGATTTTCAGTTCCATTAACGAACAAAACACCGATTAACGAAAGCCTTGCGAGAAACACGCTTTGTTGTGTGCATCGGCTGATTGACTAGTCCGCCAATACAGTAATCTGTTCTATGTTTACATTTGTTTCTAGTGGAGTAAATATCAAGAAAGTTGTGCTCTTGGATATTTCTGCATTTTTAATATTAAAATTATTGGTCATTCTAAGATTTAGTTAACATGTTGATAATATACAGAGCAGAAATTATTCTGAAACATGAAGAAGCCATTAGAACCAATGGACTGTAAAGAATATGGCATGTCATCATCGACTGCCTCTACAACCAGCTGTTTGATATGTAAACAAAGCTGCCGGTAATACAACATACACACCTCAAAGTAAGTTAAAATACAGTAATCTACTGTATTGTATTTATAATTGTACAGTACAATATACTGTACAGTAATGTACTGTATTTAGTTTATATTTAATGTTTTGTTAATTCTATTACCTGTGTACAGTACTTTGTATGTATACTTTTTCTGTGAGTTGGAACCAATTACCAAATATCCCATTGAAATAATAGATTCAGTTAACAAACGACTCTGTAGAACCAACAGTGTTTGTTAATCTAGGGACCACTGTATATCTCTGACTGTGTGTTATACAGTCAGGCCTAAGCCCCCCCAGCTGTACTTCCTCTTGTGTTTAACCCTTAATGATGGCAATTGTTTTAAGTGGAGTGTATATTGTCTTTAATGGGGAGCGTGGTCTAAAGACTTGGTCTACAACTAACGAGAGCTCATGTGTGGGATCGGCCACAATCGCAAGTTTGTTTTTGCTTTGATTATTATACAGTACCGTATTATCGGATGATCGGCCTCGTATGGCGTATGTTACATCATAAATAATATAACATACAGTATTATATAACAGATAAAAATAATAAAAAATTTGTATATTATAAAAGAATAAGTTGTATCAAAGGTAACGTCTCACTTTATAACTCTCTCCCTCCTCACAACATATTAACTTAACAAAAAATATCATTATGAGAGAAGCCATTTATTATGTCTGCAGATGGCTGTCTTTCTCCAGTAACCATATAGAACAGGTTTATGGGCAAGGGACATCAACATAGTGAGGGAGCGCACGTGTAGGCAGGCCAGCTGAATCTAAAAATTTTCCACTAGCCCAGAAGTGTTTTTGAAATGTGTGTGATATTTATTAATAATGTTTTTTTTACCTTGCATTATTTAATTTGAGTCTTGTAAGCTTTTATTTTAATTCAGCAACATACGACCTAAGCTGTTGCATGATGTAATTACCACAATCAATTAATAAATGTTTTAAAACTCTTAATGGCAGAAACAGTGGCCAGCCCTTGAGCCAGAGGGATGACTCAACAGCTCAACACAGGTAAATAACAGTCTCAATGTATGCTTATATTCCTTAATTAATACTTGATTTATATGGAGGTTTATTTTCTTGGTTGACAGTGTGAGTAAAAGAGATATATCAAGGGTGGTTAGTCCCTAACTTGTTATGTTCTTATGGGATTAATTGATACAAAAACTGTTGATTCACTGTCTGTTGATATTTGACAGTCCTCATATGTGTCTGTACAGCATGTGAACCATCGGGTGTACCTATGGTAAAATACATTAACTTTTAATTAAAACTACTGTGTGTACACAACTCTAATAACATAAGATAATAATGTACTTTAATACAGAAAATAGTGTGTTAGTCTTTTACTATAGAGCATTTTTTATCAGCTGAGAAAAGATGCCCCGCCCTCTCCTTGAGAGATACAGCTCATTGGCTGTTGCAAACCCGTCCGATTTTGTCCTGAAGTAATGATGTATTTGTAAATGAGTTTACAGTCAACCCTCACTTTACGCGGTCCCACATTCCACGTTTACACGGTGCCCTACCAGAACCCAGGATGCTCACATTCCGCGGTGGGTGTACCCCTTTACACGGGTGAAGTATAATTTCTTTATTTAACTCATAAAATTCATACAAATTATCCGGCCAGAATATAATTTACATTGCTGGAATTCTTACAATTTGGTGATCATTTTGAATATAAACATCATACATTTTGCATTAGACATACAAATTTTAGATATAATGTTTACTCTGAGTAAATATGTTATCTTTTGTGCAAAATATATGATATTTATATTCAAAATATTCCTGGTCTTACAAGGAATCCAGCAATGTCAATTATATTATCCTAACTTTAGTCTGATTTATTATTTATTACTAAAAAGGTAAACAGTCTGGAATTCCCACACATTCATCTGGTAGGGAGGCTTGGTGGTGGGTGGGAGGGAGGGAGGGACTGGTGGCCGACCACCTGGCACCATGGTGTGAAGAATATTTTTTTTTTTTTAACTGAAGATATTTGTTTTAGCTCATAAAATTCATACAAATTACCCGGCCAGAATATAATTTACATTGCTGGAATTCTTACAATTTGATGATCATTTTGAATATAAACGTCATATATTTTGCATTAGACATACAAATTTTAGATATAATGTTTACTCTGAGTAAATATGTTATCTTTTGTGCAAAATATATGACATTTATATTCAAAATATTCCTGGTTTTACAAGGAATCCAGCAATGTCAATTATATTATCCTAACTTTAAACTGAGGTATTATTTAATACTAAATGTTAAAATCTAGTTTTTTCACCCAACCTTTCTCTTGAAGGGAGGATTGGTGGGAGGTTGGGGGGAGGGTTGGGACCGACCGACCATCTGGCCCGGTTGGAAGAGGGGGGAGGCAAGGTGGGGTACTCTGATTGACAGATAGTGTCGTGAAGAATATATATTTTTTTTTTATTAACTGAAGATATTTGTTTTAGCTCATAAAATTCATACAAATTACCCGGCCAGAATATAATTTACATTGTTGGAATTCTTACAATTTGGTGATCATTTTGAATATAAACATGATAGATTTTGCATTAGACATACAAATTTTAGATAAAATGTTTACTCTGAGTAAATATGTTATCTTTTGTGCAAAATATATGACATTTGTATTCAAAATATTCCTGAATCTTAGGAATCAGCAATGTCAATTATATTATCTAACTTTAGTTTGAGGTATTATTTATTACTATAAAAGTGGATATAACATAGCAATGTTAATAATTTGCTTATGAAATATAGTGTTACATAGGAAATCGCGTAATAGAAATAACAGGGCTTATGGAGAAAATAGGGTTAGGTGCAGATTACTCGAAATCTAAAAAATTTAGTAGTTAGCCTAACACAAAGGATAGCACAGTCTAAATAAATGTTACATTCATATCTAATAATGAAATCATACAGTAAATGTAACACTTTACTTGATGGGGGAGAAGGGTGATTTTGAGGTTGATAAAATAGAGCTTCTCTTCAAGTGTTATATCCTTTCTTTTACGATCATCACCGGGAATTCTATCACCAGAACGCTTCTTGTTGATATTCTTCTTTACTATATTCACAGTTAATACGTGGGGTATGCTATAACGAACGGATCCTACTACGAATATTCCTATAACGAACGGTTTTACCTATAAAATTGAGAATGCTATAACGAACGAAACTCCTACAACGAACATTATTTATTTATTTTTTTCTAATTTATTGTTTTTTTATTACAAATATTAATGATATTCTTTATTTCAGGGGTTTAGATGCATATTTATGCACTTTTTACAATTTTTACAATTTTATATTATATTTTTCAGTGTTAAGTGGTTGTATTTGGGGGCCTGGAACGGATTAATCCTATAACGAACGAATGCTATAACGAACAAGGTTCTAGAACCTATTAGATTCGTTATAGCATACCCCACTGTACCACAAAATTGGAGAAATAGTAAGCAATTAAAAAGAGGGAAGAGCCAGCAGTGTAGTGTGAGAAGTGGGGGAGGGAGTTGAGTCCATTATTTGAATGGACATTAACTTGGCGACTGTATTTCTCTATTTCTCTTAAGTATTAATTGTGTGCATGTACCATCATAAAATTAAGATGTTATTTTTACTAGAACATAGGTATTGTGTTGGAAAAAGTGGAGTTTGGGGGTCAGCTGGTCTCTATTTCATTTAATCCCATATGTTATGTTATTCACTTTACGCGTTTCTCACTTTCCGCGGTACCCTGTGGGTTACATTAACCGCATAAAGTGAGGGTTGACTGTATTCATAATCGTTGGGATGACCGTTTCTGACGAGAAAGATGATAAGCTAAACTATTATAAAGATACATATATTTGTTATTTCAAATATGAACACGTAGGAAGTTTATCAGAAATCTTATACAAGAATTAACTGTTAAACTCTGGTAACAAA